TGCACATGAAATCATAAACCCTGAAATGACAAGAAAAAAAACAACAACAGTGGTTTAGGGCAGTCCCGTGACTAGCCCAACATTAGCTTTCTGTGAACACTGCCAAACACTGTGCGTGATATGTGATTTGCACATCTATCCACTAGTAACTGAGCAAATCACTTCCTTCTAAGCTGACCTCCACTGAAGATATCACTGTGTATTTCACCTTACAATAGATTATTTGACTCCTAAGACCCATGAAAGGAAACAATACCTTTGTAATCAAGCACCAAATGTCTGGAAAAAATAAAATATATTTGAAAAATAGAGTATCTAATGTACTGTCAAAACATTCAGATGCAAACTAAATAAAAATCCAATCTGTTGAGTGGATATAATGCATAATCACATTACATCTATATTTTCTTGGTATACCCCATCAGAGACCACATCTAGCTTCCCCTGCAATATTCATGAATGTTTTTGTTATTGCACTAGTCCACAGTTTCCAAGATTACTTAATTCCTCAATTTTCCCTTGCTAAAATTGTTACAAGTTTTAAAGACACTTTTGTATTTTATAATTTAATTAATACAAAATTTCTTTAATGAAACAATATATTTTTTTTCCTTTTGGCTATATTTCATCTTTGTATTTATTGATCAGTCTTCCTGGGGATATACTGCTCCTGCCCTGAACGCACATAGATATTAGTGTGCGTTAGTATCAATGTGCTTTGCAGACAATCCAGCTTTGAGGAATCTCAGAAGTTTATTCAAGCAAGAGTGCCAGGTATTTTCAAGTGTCAATTCCTCTCTTAACACTTCCTCTGATCTTCAGTACTGCATCTTTTTAGAGGATTATATCTTGCCCATATGTTCCTGGAGGATTAGATCATAGTTCTACTGCCTCCAGATGGTAGCAAAGCCATGGTAGTGGGATTTATGTCAGCCTGCCCAGTAAGCACCTTTTTCGCTAGCAGTGCTAGAGTCTGTGCTTTGGAGGCATTATTAAGTATGGAAGCAATCACTTTATTGTATACCACATTCAAACTTGCGTTTTAAGCTACATGATAGGGCATACCTGAAATAAGGTTAAACTAGATGAATGCATACTATTTCTTTTGCACTAGCAGGACCTCACATGACAAAATGTAAAGTGCATTTATAATAGCAAGGTCTAGAGTTATAGTATCTGCTCAAACTCATCAGAAAATCAAATAAAAAACCTATGCATACATATGGCATCACATTAAGTAAAGGCAAATATATCACCTCACACTTTCTAAATGTTTTAGACATGAGTCTTGCAGTCTACAGTATAGTTATATTTAGGGAACTGACTTAACATGGTGCCTTCTGGAAGCACATTTATACCTGTGTAAGTCATATCTGCTGAACTTAACAGCAAAGGAGAAGGAATTTTACAACAGCATCTTTTATTGAATGAAAATCAAATGAGAATTGTTGAGGAAAGCCACTGAACTACAATTGTAAGAGTGCAATTTATTCTGAGAGTTCATCTGCATGAAACTAACTATGCAGGGAAGTAGGCTGTAAATAAATCTACAGCTACCTCGCACTCAATAATCCAGTGGATGCTTAGCTCTCAACAGCTAAATTCATACCCTAGTTTACTATGGAGTAAATTCCCCAGGTAGATGAGCTCCCATCTAAGGATGGGAAAAGGAGTTGTGGTATATTAGTAAGTAGACTATACTCCAATTCATATTAATTGCCATTATTAAAAGGCCAGATATTCCTTCAGTTTGGGTGACCTGGAGCTGTAGTGCCATCAGCTGAGAGTTAGAGGGAAATGTGCATCATTGCAAGACATCTATTGGCCATAAAAATAATCAGAGTCTGATTATTTTATAATTTTATATTTTATAAAGAGAACTGTCTTCTCTTTAAGAACAATTTAAGAAGCTCACTCCAGAACCTGCTCTCCTGTGAGAACTTCTTTCGCTGCCCTCTTAACCCTAAAATACGTGATGCACAGACCTCATGATACTTATGAGAGAAGGAAAGTTTTCTGTAATCTGACCGGTATTCTTTTAGCCCTCTGGAAAGAAAAATCCCCATGTTCTCTAGTCTTGCAAAAGAGACTGATTGTTCCATATTATGAAAAACAGGTTGTTATGTTTTTGAGGGATAATCTGACTTCACCTTTGGGAGAACAGCGTTCTAGCACTGCGGCAAGGGCTAAGGAAGGGACAGGGGCTCACACGCTCTGCTCCGGTGACAGGATTTGTTCGCTATGCCTAACCCAATTTTGAATGGGGGAATTTGACTAGAAGAAGGTATGCTTCTCAGTGCTTTAACTTCCACAGTTCTCAGAGTAATCCACTGTAATTAACCACAAGAAGGAAAGAAAAGAAAAAGCTTGAGAAACGGAAAGAGATGTAATTTCCTGCTTTGTTTTGTTTTTTAATATATTTCTAGTGCAAAGAACTCGAGGTATGAATTTCATCCCAGTGCCAACATTCCTCATGAAGGCTTCTATTACAGTTAGACCCAGGCTGGTTAGATTGTCCTTAGGCTGCATATCCAGGTGATTACAGGTCCCTTCATGCTGGCCCTTTCATTGCTTGCAAATGAGAAGTTTAACTTTGATTTATGTGATTTATAAGCACTTCAGCCCTTTCGGGAGGAAGCTCAGAGGGGAGAATAAAGATTTATTTCAACAACTTGGGAACTGTCAAACTTGTTCAGAAAGGGTTCTCTCCTTTTTAGGCAAAGGAGCTTTTTTCTTCTCATTTCTTGTGATCTTTTGTGCTGGTCATTGGCTATATCTTATTGTACCTATTTTATGTCCCTTTCTAATTTTAAATGAACAGTCATTCTGTTTGACTGTGGCTTGGTCCCAGTTAATTGTCACTTAGCTCAGTCTGCGATCTCCATGCTCCGCGTATTGCTATCACATAGCTCCATCCGTTCTTAGGCCTGCAACATCCCTTCCCGTCTGCCATATACTTGTACTTTCCAAAATAACACGAATAGATGTGTTTTCTCAGAACCTAATACTGCAGTGAATTGGAGCCTGGGTCCTCCAATTTCACAAGCAATCCTCCCTGTGCTTGAGACACTGGGGAACTTCACTCAAAAACTGGAGTCCATAGGCTATACACATTGGGAGCTAGAGCTGGAGGAGATTGTTGCTTGACTTCTGAGCCTGCTAATATGCCTAGCGTACATCCTCATGAGCTAAGAAAGCAAGGAAAAATGGGATCACCAAATAGTAGGAGGTGGGAGAGGACAATCCCCCCACTGACCTTTGCAATGCCACCACAAAGTTGCCCCTTTGTGAGCCTTCATCCACAGTTAATTTCTGGGTATGTGAGGAATCAAGCAATGAGAGCTGTGAAATGGCTGCGGCAGTCCATTACAGCTTGCAGCATGGAAAAGAAAAAACCTTTCCTGCAGGTATAAGATCAACATCTGTTGGCCACGGAATATATACTATAAATTGTTTTGAAGCAATTGGGAACAACAAAGCCATGCATGATTTCTTACAGCTCCTATGTGCTGGTAAGCTGGGAAGAGCACTGTTTATGCCCTGCAGACCTGTCAAACAGCAGTTATAGCTGCTGACTGCCACCGTCACACTGACAGGCCACAACAGCACTGAGGGGGTTTCCAGTTTCCAGACAATGACTCTAACCATCTTTCTCTATAAAGTTATGTTGCATTTTCTTAAATTCTCAGTTCACTTGCAATGGAACCAAGCCGGAAACACAACTCTCCCACATCGCTCTGCACAACTGTTGTGGACAGAGAGCTGGCACAGAACTGAAAATATCAACACAGTCACCCAGGTTTGCTCAATATGCTGCTCAGCATCCTCACCTGGAAGACAGTAAAAAATGTGGGTGGTTCATCCATGCTTGTTGCTCTCATTTAACACTTGCAACAAATCACCCTGGAAGAAGACCAGGACAGATGCAGTTTCTTCGCAACTGGTTGAACGCTTTCACATGCAGCTGCTGAGAAGGGCTTGCTAGGCAACAGCGCAGAAGAAATACACAAAAGCATCCCTGCTGCTGCACTGCCTGGATCTGCAAACTTCTTCAAGGTGGCCCCACAGAGAGCTGGCACATCCATGGAAACAGCTGCCTACTCTGAACCGCTGGTACTGCCATGGCAAGGGGGTGCCATGCCACAGGCTCCTGGCAGCCCAAGGGCAGTTGCCCTGGCACACCTCGGGGCGCCAGACTGCCTCCCATCAGCACAGCACAGCCCACCCGTGTGCTGTGGTGCTTGCCTTTAGTGCCAGAAACGCACACCTGTTTGAACACACATTAGTACCTCAGATACC